TCAGACAGAAGCAGCTAGGCTGGGCTCCAGCACCTGCAAAGGAATTACACAGCACCAGCAGGCAACGCACTTGTTTTGATCTCACTGTGAATATGTATTTGGCAAATAAAGACTTAAAGCTGGGAACCAGCGTGGAGCCTGGAAGTTTCATGCCATCCTGCCTCCTGCAATGCTCATGCAATGACGCTATCCGAGCAGCAGCTATGTAAAGAATGCTGCCCTCTTATCAGGGTTAAAAGGGTCAGAGCAAATTAAGTGCTTCTCACTGACTGACTACCAGGGGAAACAGTTCCTTTCTCAGGAAAGGTCCCTAGCATGAGCTCCTTTCTCTAGTATTGTATCTCCACCCCATGAAACCAAAAGCTTTGCTCATCACTGCAGTGAGACTAAGACACAGCACCTTGACACCAGTATGGCAGAAAGACAAGCTGCGACCACAGAGCTGCACCCTTCTGCCAGGGAAACCTAGACCCTACCTCCCTTCAGCCCTGAGGAAAGCATCAGAGACAACAATTTTTGATGCCTATCCCATCTTTCAACCAGTGTTTTATAAAATGCTCAATTGGCATAGCAGCTAAGCAGGGTCATGGGAAGCGACACTGTCAGATGGGCTCAGTTTTGACCAGCACCTCTGAGCAGCTTGCCCAAGACCACACACAAGTCATCAGGACAGGAACATACAGAAGAGTCAATCCTTTGCATAGACTTTTGGACCTCCTTTAACGCAGATGGCTTTTGCGGTTCTCCATAAATGCTCAGCTTACACTAAACCTGAGCAGGGGCATTTCTGGAGAGCAGCTGGCCAGGCTACGGTGTGCCATCCCACCTCCCCTCTTGCTCTGGTTGCTTCCATTCACTTTTGCACAAATGATTCATTTTTACCCAGTCTTTTGTAAACAGCATTCAAAGCCAGCTGGAATGTGTTGTGCACCTAAATTACACTTGCTCAGCAAGCTCTTCAGCAGAAAGGATCCATTTCAATCTTTGCCCGCGGTGGGGGCACGGCAGCATGCATCCTTCTCCTTCACTGCAGCAGCTTTCTTTTCACAGCACTGAAGCAGCACTGTTAACATCCAAACCTCACTGCTATTAAAACATGAAAGGTGCACCTTGAAGGAGGAAGGGGAAGAAGAAACTCCCTGGATCCCTTAATTGTAGCCCTGGGCTACAATATCTCTTCTGAAGAGCACAAGGTGGGTAGGGGCAGGTGAGGAGTCAGTACCTCAAGCTGAAGTGCAAGGCACGAGGAGGCTCAGGCACGTGCAGGTGTCTTCAGCAGAGAGGGTGACCTTGTCACACCCCAGATGGTTTCAGCTGTCCCCCAGCTGATGAGGAAGCTATTAACAGACATTTTGGGAAAGCACAAACATGCACCAGTCAATCACAGCAAAGGCCAGCGGGGGGGAAGGTGAAGAGACCAGATCTGAAATGAGGTAAGCCAGGTTTTTAGAGTGGGGCAGGCATTGGCATGAAATCACAGACATCTTCCCGAGGCTGAGAGGCAATCTTCACCACCTCATCTGAGGCTGCAGCGTGTCAAGCCTTTGTTTTGGTGGCAGGACCCATTCCCACCTCCCTCCTTTTTTCCTTTCACCCCTCCTTTGCAACCAAAATGTGAACCCAAGGGGGACTTAGCCGCTGGACTACTGCACTGACCAACTGCAGCCATCAGGAAAGGAAAAAGAAAATAAAACACAGCCAATGACTAGAAGTGAAACACCACCATTTCCAGGGAATTCGCCTCTGTAAAGCAGGCAGAATCAAGCACAGGACATAACAGGCAAGAGACAAACTTCCTCATGCATTAACGCAGGCAATGGGAACTCAGGATAAGAGACCTGACTGCAAATGATACCACAGAGAAGCACAGAGAGGACTGGAGCTGTTTTATCTTCTCCTGTCTAATGAAGAACTAGAGACACTTTCATCCAATTGGCACAGCATAGCCCTCAAAAGCCAAAAACTTTACAGCTGGTTTGCTAAAAGATGTTTTTTTGAGGTGTTGGGAGTGGGAAGGAGGGAAGAGAAAAACACAGCTAACACTCCTTCCTACAGCAAGGGAAGAAAAAGTTATTTCCTTCACAGATTTGTAAACAGTTTTACTTTTAAAGAAGAGTTAAAATCAGGATAAAAAAAAGTATGTTCAACATGCATTTTGTCATACCACACTGCTTGCCATACAAGCCAACGCTGCTTTTCCTGACCAGAATTCAACTCCTTTGCATCCAAAGCTCAGCTCAGCTCTCATCCTGCTGCTGGAGCAGGCAGGGAAGGCGTTCAGAAATGCTCCGCACCCCACTATGGCAAAGTTACACACAACAGCTTCACCAGCACCACACACAGCACAAAACACCTTTCTAGGAGATCTGACATCAGGCTCCACACACATTGCCAAGTGAATTACAACGCCTGCAGAACAAAGCCATACTGAGACGGAGGACACCTGTAAAAACAGAGCTGGACTACTCCAAAGGGAACCTAAAGCCACAGCAGATGTTCTTTTCATCTCCACACTCATCACTCACTGCTGCGAGATGGTACTCTGGGCAGGTAAAGAAAAGCTAACACTAATTGCTCAGGATAAGACAGAGGAAAACAACAGCGGCTCAGGCTGGCAGGTTCTCAGGCATCAGAGATACACCTTCCTGGGGGAGTCATGGGATAAGGAAACGTGGCTGAGCTGCAGCACGCGTAGGTCCAGCATCACGATAACTGGCCTCTGGAAGGTGAAAATGCACAAAGGTGAAAAAACACAAAAATCTTGCAACGGTTCAAACAAGCGCACAGCCTGGCAGGACAGACTGCACCAGTTCTGCTGCATTTTCACCCAGTCCAAGGCATGGTGCTGGCCTCACATCCAGCGCTTGCTCGTCATTGTGAAGCCACCAGCTACAGGGTGGCACAGTGGGACCAAAGCAGAGTCCGTCCTTTTGCAAGCAGAGGTAAAACTCTATGAAGCCACAGAACATGAAAACAAACCGCTAAGAGATCAGTGAGAAGAACCATGTTTCTATCCCACTGCTCATTTATTTCAGTATCTAACCAGGCCCCCAAGGCTCTCATTAAAGCAGTCTTTTCATACTAGTTTTTGATACGGGAAGGGGCACGGGCAAGACATGGCTGTTTAATTGAAAGGCACTGCTGAACACTGGAATGCCTGGCAGCCCTTTAACTCAGTGATTGAAGTCGTTAGCCCCTTGCTGGAAACGCAGAATTACTGCAGACTAAATCTGGACAGTGTTGCTTGAGCCAATGCCAAGGTGCCTCATTTCTGTGACTAACTAATACCAAATGAATCATTGCTTTAAAAAGAACTCCAACTTGGACTTTCAGGGACTTGCAAAAATAATAATTACGTTTGTCTTTTCCACCCAACAAACATTTTGATCTATAGCACCAATTCAAAGGAAGAAGCTATGACTACAACCACTGGCAATTATTTTTTATACCCTTAAGCACAGATATTTTGCTGTTTAAATTCAGATCAACGCTTATTTCCTTCTCTCAATGAACTTTTTTACACTTGTCTGCTTTGATGCCTATGTCCAGTAAGAGGCTTTCAGAATATGATGCAAGTGCATTTGTTTCTTTTTTTTTTTTTTAACATGTGCACTCTTCCAATGAAACTAGTAAAACACCATGCACAACAACAAGAAATTAACTTTGTGACAGCCAGGAGGATACAGGTTTAATTTCTCCGGATTCAGCAAAACAACAATAATCCTGTATAATAACATGCCACAGTCTTGATGAAGAGAAAGTTCAGCATTGATCTTAAGTCTGCCCCCGCAATACCAGACCACTTTGCTATCACACATCAACTATCTGACATCCAAAGACAAAGCACCCTGAATTCATCAGGGGAGAACAAACCAGAATAAAGTGATTTCCTTTCTAGAAGTCTATTCTCTTATGCTGTAGCTGGCAGATGATTTAACCAGTGTTTTCTTCGCACTACACAACTGATGCGGAGCAGGCACACTGAATGCAGTTTCTTCCCTCAAGTTCTGTGGTCCATGGTGGTTCGGGCTCCAAGGGGAGGCAGATCTCATTTCAGCCAGATCCACTTGTCACCAACATCAGCATTGTAGCCTTGCTTAAAATTGCGACCAGGAAGCTAGAGAAAGGAGAAACTTCAGTCAGAAACACTTCTCTTTTCACTCTTTGTGGAAGTTTTTTGATTCTTTATGAGCACCTCGTGGTATCTGCACAAATGCAACATGAAGTATTAATTTTTTTTTACAAGATAATGATTAGCAGTTGTAGAAAAATCAGTCCCTCTGCAACATTTGAGCTGTGTAGCTGGAAGGGGGGAGCCCTAAAAACCAGTATGCCATTGTATATATAAAAATTAGGCCAGTATGTCAACAGCACAACAGGATATTCCACCTGGATTCACCCAACTCTTCGCCCATACACACTCTTGCTCCCAGTTTCAGTAAGAGATGACCCATCTAACCGTAGCAGGTAGCAGACTGAATCAGTCAGTAGAACCTCACGCCAAAATAGGCACACCATTATTAAAGACAAGGAATATTTCATGCATGAAATACCGAGTTAATTACTACATTAAACCATTCAAATGAAATTGCATATTTAGCCTTCAAGAGCTGAACTTAACTTCATTAAAGCAAAAGCAGTATCTGCCTGTCTTTATAAGCCAAGCCAGAAACTGTGACTCGCTGGAAAAAACTGCAGTTTCTTGAACCCACTGCCCAAATTTCACCAGTACCCTGGGACCTAAGCACCAGCCTTCATATGCTGCCTCTGAACCTCCCTGAGCTTTCAGGCTGCAACTCCCTGCACAGATCTTTAAGGCTGCTGGAAATCGCCTCCACCTGGGCACGCAGGTTAGCCTGGCCGAGCTTTCTGTACCTGTGCTTCCCAATCCAGGGCTCGGGGAACCACGGTGCTGCCGCACAAAGGCACTGCTCCCTACAGTTCATTACATATCGCTGTACGTGAGACAGCAGAGCACTGGGGACAGCAGCAGGAAGCCTTTCCTCCTGACAGCTTCTCAAGAGCTTGGGCTAGTTGTACAGGTCACGAGAGGATCATACAAGGAGCTGTTTGAGCCCAGCAAACCATGAAATGCACTGCAGAGGGAAAGGCTGGAGGTGCTGGAGCGCTGGGAGGGGAACATCGGAGGTGCTAGGAAAGCCGGGGGGTCTGCACTCTCACCAGGGAAGCAAAGCAAATTATCACAGAGACAAGAGCAAATGGAGGTAAATAGCTGTAGCCTAAACAGAGTCTTGGCATCTGTGAGTTCAAGAAGTTGTGTCTAGACCCAGAGATGAGGATCTGTTTCCTCCAAGTCTATGAAAGGACATGAGACGCCAAAGCACACAACCCCTGTCCTGGCAGTCCATCTAGCCAGCCAAGGAGATGTCCCACAACTAAAGCCTTCGTCAAGGGTTCAGGAGGAAGACATGCAGATGTCTGCAGGCAAGAAAAGCCTTCCTCCAGGACAAGCAGGCTGCATCAGGTCAGCAAAAGCAGCCTTCTGTGACAGAAGGCTCACCACAAGTGTGCCAACAACGCTGTCATCAAAATCATCTCCTACCAACTTGCTTTGCAAAAGCAAATTTTTAGCGCAGTTTCAGCCTGAATAAACAAACCAGGCTTTGTACCCGCTAGATAACTCAGCCACAGGAACAAAACCTGCCAGCAGCAGCATCAGTGCATAAAGTTGCTGCTTTGGCAATTACTCCAAACTGAGTGGTCCTACGGAGGAGAGATGTAGATACATCCCAACCTGTGAGTCTCCCAGGTGATAAAGCAGTCCCCTTTGGAAAGTACCATGAGCTGAAATGCCAGAGACGGTGAGGTCCTAGCTCCAAAAGCAGAGTCTGTCTCCTGAACCTCTCTTCCTATCTCCAGGAATGAAAAAAAGACAGAACCCAGTGTTCATCTTCGAGATACAATACTGGAATCAAGAAGCAAATCCACCGTGAAAAAGCAGATTAGTTTGGTGAGGAAGTCTAAAGCAAGCAAAGATGCTATAATAAAACCCTTCCTTTAAAAATAAGCTATCCACTAGCGGCCTTTCCAAATAATTAAGCATGTATCATCTGCTCATCTCCACACAAATACTGGTTTCACACAGGACCCCTGACTTGTCCTGATGACCTTTTCTTTCAAAAAACTGTAAGAGTATCCTGTTTGAGAGAGCTGCCCCTGCAGAGAGAAGCAAGACCCAGTCTTGATGAAATCTATACTCAGGCCACAAAACCAGCTATTTAATCCAGGATTAAGCCTGCTGTTTTGAGGAAGGGGAAGGAGGTTTTCTTTTTTTTTTTTTATTTGAAGGTCAGAAAGTAAGACACTTCTTTCCGTAAAACCCCAAGCTGACAGAAGACTTATACCTCCTTCATGAGACATCCCCCACCCTGCCCTGTCACAAGCCATTACAAGCCTTTCTTGATCAGTTTTTCTAAGGTTTTTCATTTCAAGTTGTCTTTAATGTCTTGTCTAAATATCAGAAGACACCATGCAGTCCTGTTAAGAGTTACTCTTGCTGAGCAAAGAGGAGATGTGAGACGAAAAATAAATGATTACTATCTCTGCCCTGCAAATTTACAGTCATGAGCTAGGGAGGACATCAGACCTGCTGTGACCAGCCTGTATCTATTAATTCTAGCACAAAAACAGCTCTCCCTGGTCTGCTCCAGGCAGCGCATAATTGGCCCTTTGATACTTCAAGAGATTTCCCAGATAACTAGATTATTAAAGCAACAGGAGCTCTCTGGGAAAATACAGGAGTTTACAGTTTCATTTTCTGGGTAAATCTGCCCTCTTTAAAAGATACAATATCAGTCCCACCAGAATTTAAAGTCATTGTCCAAAACAAATTCCCCATGTGCCTTTGGTTAAAGGCATGCAATACATCAAAGCAAATTTTGTAATAAGTATTCATCCATACTCCATCATTCACAGTGGGCCTTGGCAAAAGCAGTCGAGTTTTGGTATATGTTACAGCCCAGCATTCAAAATAGCCCCCCCCAAAAAAAAGGGAAGAGGAAGGCACAATAAACAAATCCCATATTACACAACAAGCCGAATGATGCGAATTTCTGTTCTGTGCAGTATCTGCACCAGGTACAGGTAACACAGACTGCTTCCCGAGGATGGGCTCCTCAAAGCTCACTTTTTAGAGCCATGTCTTCAGTAAAAAACTGCACAACTAGTAACAAGGAAGGGCTGTCCCAGAGGGTAGGAAGCTGGTCATCTTTCAGCACTTATTGTGCTATATATTATTACAGTGTCCCTGCCCATGTCAGGGGGGTTGGAATTAGATGATCTTTAATGTCCCTTCCAACCCAAACCATTCTGTGATTCTATGATTACTGAGCGTTTAGAAAAATACTGGAACAGAAGTCATTCCTGTTCTTGCAGCTTTCTTTCTGCCCCCCCTCCAGCTCCTCACATGCCCATCTCCTGCCAGAACAAGCATTTGCTCAACAGCACAAGGAGCCTGGATTAAAACAGCCAAAAGTGTTGCGGCGAGGTTGCACAGCACAGCTGAATGGACCCAACAGCATGATGCCAACAAGAAGAGGTTGTATAGTACCCATCCTCTCACCTCTCTGCTGCACAGTCCAAGCTAGCTCCACAGCTTTGCTGGATCATTCCGCAAGCTCAATCAACCCCTGTGCCCAGCAAGAAACTCTTCACTCCTCCCAGCTGGGTTAGTTTTCAGTGACTCTGCAGGCTCCATCAAACACACACCACTACAAAGAAGAGTGGTGAGAGCAGCAGGGAAGGACTGGGGATGCAGGGCAGGTGGTAGGATGTGCTTTTTACAGTGACAACAAATGGTTAAGTTGGTGCTCCAAGCTGCAGCCAGCTGAAGTTCCCAGCCTGTTCTGCCCAGGGCTGCCTAGCCAGCACAAGGGCAGGGATGGGAACAAGCAGTCAGCCCTGAGGCTGCTGGTCTTGCAGCCAAAAGTGGTAAACTGTCCAGCCTAGAAAAAAAAGAGATGATGAAAGGGAGATAGGACAAAGCTCTAAGGAGGGGAGAGAACACAGAGAGGGAATTGAATATTCACCATCTCTTCCAGTACAAGATACAGGAACAAAGCCAGTGGATTGACGGACTCCTTGCTGGAGGATACTGCTGACACAAAATTTAGAGGGTCTCAATGGGAAACCAGGCAAGTACTTGGAAGTGACTTGCATCTTCCACAAGACTTGTGCGTTCCAAGTAAGTTTCCCCATCAGAACTGTCCTGAAAACCAGCAAGGCCACATCACTTGCAAGCAGCTGGCACATTCACAGGAATGCTCCACGCATGTTACCTTCAAATCACACTTGAGTATGACCAAAGAACAGGTGTAACTTAATGGCCATGGTAATAATAGTGCATCTTATTATGCACAATTAATTATTAACTTGCCTGTGGAAATATGTTGTGAAAGGAGTAGCATACAGGGTCAAGTAAATCCCTTCAAACCCTCTTGGGTCCTTCACAGACATCAGCCCAAAGAGACCTCCTGAGCCCACCAAGAGGCCTGTGCAGCACCGAGGGGCAGAGAAAGCAGGCGACTATCACACCAAAGCTTGAGCCATCTTTCCCAGGAAAAGTAAGAAAAGCCATGTCGTCGTTATCACAGCAGCCACCTAGACACACAATTTGCAACACAAGAATGAAGTCTCTGCCCTCAAGGGCTTACAACTGAGGAAGCACTGAAGAAGCAAATGGGAACAGAGATCCCAACAGAAACCCCACAGCTCCCACACATCCCTGCAGCAGGAGGGAAACGTGAGCTCCTGCAAGGTCACTGCCAAGTAACATTTTTTTTTTCCACTCCATGGAAATGAATGAGACTGAGAATCCAGCCTTGCTCTCCTGCATTACACTGTGCAGAACTTAAAAGCTGGCAGCAAGGATTATCTCCAGAAGTGTGTGACAAAACACACCACGCAGAGCATGAAACTAATGAAATGAGCTGTACCCAAAGGTAGAGCCAGCTCAAAGGAATGAAACCGCTCAACTTTAAAAGAGCATCAGTAAAAAGATGAAAACAAGATCATCTCATCAGTTAAATTAAGAACTCTGCCACAGAAGTGGCTGTCAAAACTATAAACATGATGAAAAGCCCTATAAAGCAGTATAGG